CAAAGGCATGGCAGCTTAGCGCGGTCAGCTCGCGCGAGCGCGCGAGACACTTCCGCTGCCATAGCCACGTTCTGGTCCGAGGCCAACGTGTGCGAAGGGGGTCGAAAAGGGAAGTAAGACCGGGCCAGGGAGGGCCAGCACGTACCAGACACGTGGGCAAACAAGGTAGTGAGCAATGTCGTTTGGGCGGCTCTCACAGCCAAATCGGCACGTGAGCGGGGTGAGGACATGCATTCTATGACTGGTCCAGCCTCCAAAGAGAGTTTTGAAATGTGCCCAACATCGCACTGAGGAATGGTTATTCAAAACTCGTTTCACAGCAAGCCATCGACCCCTCATTCCTCCGATCGACGGGCGGCGGGGAGCCAGGCACACAGACGATGGCGGCACAGGGGGTGGACCTGGCCAGGGTAGAGGACGGCCACCAGGAAAGAGGATCACAACATTGGCGTCCTGGGAGCTTCCCGCGGCGGCCCTGCTCTCTCTCTCTGCCCCTCCGCGCGCTCGCTCGCGGCCTGCACCAACTGCCGGGGAACTCTGCGCGGGCTCGGGCCCTGGGCGGCACGAGGCGGGGAGAGGCCGTTCCACTCCCTCCTCTGCTGCGCTGCGCTGAATTCGATATGCCAGCCCGCAGCAGGCCGCCATCATCCGGCAATGTCTACGAATCCGAGCAACAAAAATAAGCGGCCTCGCCGCGACGCTCCAGCTCGCCCCCCCGCCCCCGCCCCGAAGAGCATGGGTGGCCATGCGCCAGCCGACAGCAGCTGCGGCAATTTCTGCTGTTTGGGGGCCGCCAAAAGAAACCATGCAGAAACGCTGACAGGTTCGCCGCGCTTGAACGAGCCCAGCGGAAGCCTCCACACTTTGCGCAGCGCGCAAGCTTCTCCACCCAGGATGGGTAGGGGATACCGAGAAAGTTGGGCGACGCAGCTGAGAACGGGAACATCTCTCGCGCTGCAGAATTCGATCGGTGCGGCAGCTGGAACTCACCACCACCCCGCCCCTGAACCCACGCCCACCATTTCTGGCCAGGCGCTTCCCAGGCGTCTGCCAACGACGCCACTGGGCCATCGAGGGCCCCGCGGTATTTTGCGGCCGAGGCAACGGCGTTGGTCGCCCATTCAGGCATGTCAAATGTAAGGAACCTTCGCGCCCTCTCGGCGGCGTGATCATTGTCCGACGCCCGCGGCGGCACCGCGCAGCATGTCTCGGGTCGCACGCGGAGGCCAGCGAGAGCAGCAGCAGCAGCAGCAGCGCGAAAATGGGGCGAGACGGGGCGGCGGTGACGGACGCTTCGACGGGCGGCGCCTGCGTCGTCGGCGCGCGCCCCCAGGCCCCACCGACAGCCGCCAGCGATGTCGAAAGCAGCTCTGCAACGAACCAGCGGATTCGCGCCCAGGGCCCGGATGGCCCCGAGAGAGGGCGTAACTGAGGGGCGCCAGGAGACAAAACGAAAAGCTCCTCTACCTATGGTCCGACGCGAAGGAATCCCGCGGAGTTGCTCACGAAGGCTTGGATTCCACGCGAGCGGCGGCGAGTGATCTTGAAACGCTCGGGATCTTCCCACCGCCAAGTCGGGCCCGCACAAGTGAAATCAGCTTGTACATTACAGCTCACAAAAACAGGCATGCGCACCCCCGCGTCGTCTCCAAGGCAGGCCATTCTGCCGAGCGCGCCAAGACGAACTACGTGCTCGACGAGATCTCTCCTGAAGCAAGCCCTTGCTGCACTGCGTGAGGGCGCAGCCCTTCTTCTTCGAACGTCGTTTGGCAGTTGCGCCCGTCGCTTTCGCGTCGCATTTCCGCGAACTGAAAGGCCTGCGCTGCCCCGGCTGCCTCGCGCGATCCACGGGGCCTTGCCCCCCCCCCCGCGGGGGTGAAGTCATAGACGCTGCAATTGAATTGAGCGCGAGGGGGCGGCCGGCGCCTCGCGCAAAAAAAAACAGACGGGGGCCACGGGGGGCCAAGGAGAGAACGGGGCGGGAACGGCGGGGGCCCGGGGAAGGGGGCCCACCCCGCCCAGGCGCCCTGCGAAAGCACTGGGCGCCGGGGAAAAAAGGGCCGGACACCTCGGGCGAGTGGCCGCGGGGTTCTATGAACTCTTATTGGGCCGGGGCGCCCTGTGCGCGCTCCTTCGAGACAGGCCCCCCAGCGTTCTCGAGTGGCCCCTGGGGCCCCCCCCATGCCAGACCCGCTGCAGTGCGCGCTCAGCGCGAGCCCCGCCTGTCTCCAGCGCCGCAGTCTGGAAGCGGGCCTGACCCCTCGGCCCGACGTCCGCGTCCGTCGCAGCTGGGCAGGGGGCCCCCGGTGCCGTTGAGTCGGTCGGCTGTTGAGCAAGTCGTCTGTCTCGTCGCCATATGGCCCTTGCTATTGCTTGAAGAGACATGCACCCTGGTTCAATGCACCCATCTCTTCCAGCACAAATGGGCGTCATCATGAAGATTGCGGGGAGCCTCAGGTGCCGAAAAGACGCGCCGTTTCACGCCATCCCACGATTCGTTGACGGCCAAGCGGTCCAGAGCACAAGCCGCCAAGAGTTTCCCAACCTGCTGTTGGGACTGCGGCGTCTTGAATATGCAAGACGGGGCGCCGCCGTCAGCTCTCGGAGGCTCCGCCCGCAGCTCATGCTTCAGCTCCATCGCGGCGCAACCGCTAACTCCCCGCAGCGAAAACTCTTGAGCGTCACACTTGATGTGGATGGCAATATACACTGCTCTGGAAAAGTGAGGAGGCGTCGAAATACATGCCCGACCAAGGTACGTCATCTGCTCCACAAGTTTGTCACAATGCGTCGGCGTCGGAGTCGTCATTTCCGTCGTGTGAGATTTGGAAATGCGGATAAGCTGTCTCCAAAAATGGCGCACCATGGTTCGCCCTTTCTTCTCGCGGTTGTTGAGCCCGCTGGGGGGGCGGCAGCCATAAACCAGCACTCGGATTGTCACTGACATTGAAACCACCTAATGTCACAAAAGAAATGAAGGAGGGAGTCGGCGCGTGCCATGTACTAGTTCAATCCCTATAGATGTCTGGGTTGGCTCTGTCGATATCGGACAGGTCGTAGTTGCGCGCTCTGCGTGCCCTGACTTTGCAGTGCTCTCGACGTTTATGACCTTGGTCAGCTGAGCGCGTCCTTTGGCGATCTTTGCGTGAATGTCAACCTGCATATCTGACTCACCATAGCCTAGACCTGCGCCATTAAATGTGGTGATCAAGGTTGCGACTCCACCAGCCCCAAGGGTAAAAGGAACCGCTGGAGAATTCGGGATAATGATACAAAGCGCGGTTCAGGAAGATCTAGTGCGTCATCTCGTCGCCGTGCACTTCTTGCAAAACGATGATAGACGCGTGCGTCATCAACGCATTCATATAATTCACTTGCGGGGTGCGTTCGGCCATGCGCCTGCACGGGAGGACTCTCGCATTCCAGGACACGATGCGACGCGAGGTCGCACTTCTAGGACGAAGCCAGCGCGTCCAGCGAGGGCTAACAAGACAACCGTTCTGATGTATCCACAGCTCTGAACATGCTCTTGCAACGCTACACATTGTCATTGGCGCCCAGGTGCAAGGTGGCACTGGCGGCCAGGCTCCGCGATGCATTCGACGGCTGGACACGGCATTGCGGAGTGCCCTCCGCCGCGGGAGTCGCGCAGTAGTGCGCGATACTTCGCGCGCGCGCTGCATCCACCAGTCGCCGTCCTGAAATTCTCTGCATATGCCCATGAGCTTCTTTGTCTGGGTCTCCATGCGGATGGCCTTGGGATTCTTGCCAGACTTGACGTTGAAAGTATCCTTCAGGCCATCGGTGGGCTGAATTTGGAAATTACGCAAATTGCGGTTATGATTCTCGAGGTTGATAGCCAAGCGGGGCGCATGAGCTTTGCCATCGGCTGCGCCTGGAACATAAATCTGACAACGTTTGACGCGCCCCATCGTATTGAATCTGGATGTGATGCGGCGTGGCGTTGGCTGTATCCATCCACCAAAGGCCGCCATGAGGGAGGTAGGGGACGCAAGCTTCTTGCAGTCGGCGATGAAGATTTGTGGGCCAGCTTCTCTGTTCCAGTCGGATACGCGCAGCATGTCACGGGCGGCACTTCTGCCAAGGGAGCCAACCTGAGCCAACGTAGTCTGCATTTACCATATTTGCGCGCGCATGCCGTCGCTGTCACCTGCGAGTTGCCCCGTGACCGTACTGATGCGCGCGGTTTCGTGCTAGTGCTGGTCGGTTATGTCGATATGCGGCCTGAGCTGCTTTCCTACATCATATTTGATCGTGTTGACGGATGCGCTGACGGTTTCCTGCATGCTGACAGAAGCCTCCTCCACTCATTGTTTACAGCATCCAGAATCCTCTTTTCAACGGCATCGAAGTCGGAGTGGCCCTGGGCGCCGTCGAAGCCGTTGAAGCAGCTGCCCGTGGAGCAGCTGCGGCCGCTTGCCCATGGAGCAGCTGCCTGTAGCGTGTCAGCACCTCGGGGGCGCAATGGACCAGCATGTCGCTCCCGCTCGCGGGATGACCTCCTCGCAAGAGGGCTCCCTCGGTGCTGTTCCAAGATCCTGCCACGTGCGCAAGCAAATAGAGGTGAACCATCGGTGCCACTGGTCGCACGAGCCCGCGCGAAGCACTGGAATTGCCTCTGCTTACTCACGCGGGCTGATGCGTGGGGACGCGTGGTCGCTGCTGCCCTACCAGAAGCTCAATGGATGGAGATCTTCTGGGCTGACCTCGGACCAAGAGGTATCCGTTCTCTCACCGAGGGACATAGGCATCTTGAGCCAAAACGGCGGCGCGACGGAGGGGAAGGAGGAGGAGGAGGAGGAGGAGGAGGGAGGAGCAGGAGGAGGGAGGAGGAGGAGGAGGAGGGAGTAAGAGGAGGAGGAGGAGGAGGAGGAGGAGGAGGAGGAGGAGGAGGAGGAGGAGGAACGACATCCGGTGTGCAGAACCCGCAACGCCCAGATCTCGGGGGCCGAGGGCCGCTCTGCAGGGCCGCCCGCCGCCTCGGCCCGCTCGACGCCCTCCTGCATGAGCAGGGCGGCCCGCACGGCGCGGAGCAGCGCGCCCTCCACCGTGGGGCAGCGGGCCTCCTCTCGGACCACGGGCGGGGGTGCCTGCCTCCCGTGCACCGCCCTCGGCCTGCTCGCTCCCTCCCTCCTCCCTCGAGCTCCAGGACCTCCTCCGCCTTCTCCGCTTCATCCTCCTCCTCCTCCTCCTCCTCCTCCTGCTCCTCCTCCTCCTCCCTCCTGCTGCCTCCTCCTCCTCCTGCTCCTCCTCCTCCCTCCTCCTCCTCCTCCTCCTCCTCCTCCTCCTCCTCCTCCTCCTCCTCCTCCTCCTCGTCACTCCTCCTCCTCTCCTCCTCCTCCTCCTCCTCCTGCTCCTTCTCCTCCTCCTCCTCCTCCTCCTCCTCCCCTGGCCCGTGATTCAAGTCGGGCACGTCGCTCATGTCATTCTGCCACCAGGCTGCTGGACTGCTGCGCGCCGGGGTGCGTGACCGTGGACTCGTTCGACCTGGAGATGGCTGCGGGAGGAGTCCAAATTTGGCTCCCTAGGACGCGTTCGCAGAGAAGTGCAACGGCGCAACGTTCGCAGAAGGCCGCCGATGCCGCGATCCGCAACCTCACCGCCAGGGCCAAAACTCTCGCGAAGCGGCTAGAGATGGCGAGGACGGCCTTGGACGACATCGTCGGTGATCCCGATTTGGCGGACAGGCTCATCGCGCTGCGTTAGGCCCTAAGGGGATCGACCTCTGGTCAGGAGCTCTCTTGGCTCGAACGGCTTCGACGTCATGTTGCTCTTCATGCTGCCGCCCCAGGACTTCGTGGGCGGATCTCATCGGCGAGTGCATCGCAACGCCGCGTCGCCCAGCATGGATCGCGGCCCGGCGGCCAGCGTCTGGAGGCGCAGCCAATCTCGGGCGAGGAGACGCTGCAGACGGAGCCGGAGGCGCCCGAGCCCATGCCCGCCGTCGACCGGAAGTCGCTAAGTGCCGACGCGGTGGAGTTCGTGCCCGTCACGACCGCCGTCCCCAGTTTGGTGCCCGTCGTCGTGCTGTGTCCTGGCGAACTCGAGCGTCCTGGAGCCCTGCTGCTTGCCGCTGGCTGTGGATGGCGGCGCCGTCGGGGCCCCTGCGGGGGTAACTGCCCCGCCGCTGGCGCTGCGGATGCCGCCATTGCGGACGAGGTGTCCGCCGACCAAGTGGGCGTGCACAGCGACCAAGTGGAGGCCCCCGTCTCCGTGGAAGGTGTTCGGCGGCAGGAGGTGATCGCCCACAGCGTCCTGAAGGGGGCCCAGGGGGTGCAGCCGTTCAGCGAACGTGCTCCTCATCGTCGTCTACCTGCAGCCCACAGCGCTGGGGCGAGCGGGATCCGCTGGTCCTCGCCGTGGTGCGGCGTCAGCATCAAGCGTCGAGTGCAACCAGGCGGAAGAGCGGCCAGGAGGGAGACATTCTCCCTTCCGCCTGGCCCGCCTGGCGACGGCGACCTCGGGAGCACGGAGTGCAAGACCATGTGACAGGCCTTCTTCGCGGTGTGCTTGCTTCTGGCATTGGTGTTGTTCCTCAGTCGTGCACACTCACAATCTTCTAATACCTGTGACGGCTTTGGTGCATGCAGATGCTTTCTGTGGTCATCGGGTTTCCTGGATTCAGTGGCTCTCAAACTCGTTCGGACTTAACTGTTTGTGCTGACTAATGTAGAGGTTGTGGCGCATTGGCGTGGCGGCCTTTCTCAATTCTCTCTGGCGGGGCTGCATGTGGCCGTCTTGTCGGCTTCATGGCGTCCGCGTCGGTCATGGTCGTGCCGTGTGAGGCTGAGGGCTTCTTGGCGACACGATCGTTGTTCGCAGGAGTGTGAATGTTCTTCCTCGGCCAGTTCTTCGTGGACTTCTTCGGCTTGGGCGTCTTCGAGAGCAATGTGCTCTCTTGCTGATGTCGGGAGAAATTATTCTCCCTCCCTCTCCTCTTCCTGCTTCTCCGCCGCCGCCGACGACGACTCCGCCTCCTTTCCTCCTCGTCCTCCTCCTCGTCCTCCTCCTCGCACTCGTCCTCGTCCTCGTCCTCGTCCTCGTCATCATCATCATCATCATCATCATCATCATCATCATCATCATCATCAGCAGCAGCAGCAGCAGCAGCATCATCATGACTGTCCTCATGTCTCTTGTTTCTGCTCTTCTTCCTCCTCTTCCTCATCATCATCAGCAGCATGATCATCAGAATCACCACCACCACTACCATCATCATCACACCACCACCATCACCATCACCATCACCACCACCACCACCACCATCATCATCAGCATCATCATTATCATCATCATCATCCTCATCATCATTTTCTTCATCATCATCATCATCATCAGCATCATCATCATCATCATAATCATTATCACCATCATTATCAGCATCATCAACATCAGCGTCACATTCATCATCAGTAACATCATCACCACAATCACCATCACCATCACCATCACCATCACCATCGCCATCGCCATCACCATCAACAGCAGCGGCATCATCCGCATCATCATAATCATCGTCATCACCAACAACATCATTATCCTCATCATCATCATCATCATCATCATCATCCTCATCATCAGCAGCATCATCGTCTCAATCATCATAATCATCAGCATCATCATCACCATCACCATCACCATCACCATCACCACCACCATCATCATCATCACCATCATCATCAACATCCTCAGCATCATCATCAGCATCATCGTCATCGTCATCGTCGTCGTTGTCATACTTGTGTTCCTCATCACTCCTACGCGAGGAGGAGGAGGAGGAGGAGGAGAAGGAAACATTCAGGTAGCAAGACCCAATGACAGCGCCTTCACATCGGACATGCCCAAGAAAGTCCAGGGTAGGCAACCGACGCGGCACACACTGTGCGAAAGCCGATTGCACAAAACGCGCATCACAGAAATATGCCGATGTATGTAGTAGCAAAGGCAAACAGCACGAAAAAGGTTGAACGCAGTCTACCCCTCGCGCAGCACGTGCCCGTGCTCACTGACTGGACTAATGCGCTTGACAAGCAGTGGTCACAACTAACACGTAACATATGGATTACGTGTGATGCCTCCCAAATGGCCACGTATCCATACCCCGTCCAGTGAGCACTCCCGGATCTCGGACAAGAGCCAGCACCAAGCTTCAGTACGTACCCATTTCGCGGGGGTGGGGCCCAGCTTCAGAACTCAGGGTTCAGGAGTCGACGAGAGCCTGGATGAGTCATGACCGAGAGAACAACCGCAGAAGAAGCCCATCTGCACTCTGACAGCGTCGCGTAGACCATCCACACAAGGCGCGAATCAAGGCTACCACACAGGAGAGGCCATTGAGACGTCGCCAGCGCCCTTCCCTCGGAGTCACACTTGACATCGACTGCGCCCAATGGGCGCGAGCCGCCCCCCCCCCCCAGACCTCCCGCGTTGTGATTCTTGCCCACGAAGCAAACCCGCGCCGCGGGTCGTGCTTGGATTCTGGCAGGGTCCAAAATATGGTCCCCCAGGCGCCGCAGCTGCGAAAAGCACAAACGTTGTGGATGCCATGACAATGGAGACTCTAACAATCCGATCGTTGAATTATAAAATTTGTAAAACATGAACTAAAAATGTTTAAAACATGTTTCAACATTAAAAACATGTTTGAAACATCTTTTAGACATCTGGGAACTATTTGGCAGCATGCGTCCTCTCCATTAGTCGACTTCCACAACACAAACGTGTGTTCGGCATGCTCCGCGACGCTGGAGTCATGGGTCGGCTGCCTCCGACCGCGTCCCCATGCCCAAGAGGAGTGGGGCGCTCCTCCTCGGGCGCGTTCATCCGGCGGCGCGAGACCCGGGCTGGTGCCAGCCCCTGCCCTCCGCAGAACTGAAAACGGGGACGGTGGCTGGCTGCAGGGAGGAGGAGGCTGGGCAGAAGCAGCAGGTGGGTGGGGGGGGCGCGCACAGGGAAATCGACAGCCCAGGGAGGACGAGGAGGTAAGGGAGAACACGGAAGGGAAGCGCGAGGCGGTGGATGGAGGAGAGAGGAGGACGGAAAGGAGCAGGAAGAGGAGCAGGAAGTAGAGGCCGGGGCCCGCCACCCCTGTGCACATACTTTAGGCCACGCCCCCGCGCCAACAGTCGAAGTGAGCTCTAGCTCCAGTCCTCCTCCCTCTCCTCCCTCCTCCTCCTCCTCCTCCTTCCTCCTCCTCCTCCTCCTCCTCCCTCCTCCTCCTCATCCTCCCTCCCTCCCTTCCTCCCTTTCTCCCCCCCATTTCTCCCTCCCTCCTCCTCCTCCTCCCTCCCTCCCGCCCGCTCTCCTTTCCCTTCTTCCTCGTTCTCTTCCTCTCCTCCTCGTTCTCCTCCTCCTCCTCCTCCTCCTGGTTCTCCTCTCTCCTCCTCCTCCTCCTCCTCTCCCTCCTCCTCCTCCTCCTTCTCCTCCTCCTCCTCCTCCGCCTCCTCCTCCTCCTCCTCCTCTTCCTCCTCCTCCTCCTCCTCCTCCTCCCTCCTCCTCCTCCTCCTCTCCTCCTCCTCCTCCTCCTCTTCCTCCCTCCTCCTCCCCCTCCCCCTCCCTCCCCCTCCTCCCCCTCCCCTCCTCCTCCTCTCCTCCTCCTCCTCCTCCTCCTCCTCCTCCTCCTCCTCGTCCTCCTCCTCCTCCTCCTCCTCCTCCTCCTCCTCCTCCTCCTCCTCCCTCTCCTCCTCCTCCTCCTCCTCCTCCTCCTCCTCCTCCTCCTCCTCCTCCTCCTCTCAGTCATCATCCCTCATCGCTCCTCCCCCTGCTGCTTCCCTCGCTTCCGGCACTGCAGCGACCGACAGCAGGACGTTTCCTTCTCACTACAGTGCGATGACTACGTGCCTCCTCTTAACATGGATATTGCGCAATCGGAGTCGCATGATGAGTTGCGCGAGGGAGACCCGGCGCACAGCGCGCGGCGCGCGAATGGGCGCCATGTCGCTCTGGTCACAGCGCCGCGCCGACTGGCCGTGAAACTTGAACTCCAGTCTGCGCACGGCGCACCTTT